TGTTTTATAATTTATAAAAATTTAAATTATAAAATAAAAATATTTAAATAAAAAAAAATTATAAAATTAGGGACTCCCCTCTCATTTAATATATATAGTATAAATATATATTAGTAGTGTACCCAAAATTTAAAACTAGATAGGGCATGCACTTGGGCATTCGAACCAGTAGCGTTAGCCCACGAATAAGTGCATTTCCCTTTCTTCAAGGTAATGATTCGAGTCTACTCCCTTACGATTTTGTTCAAAAAATATATATACATAGGGCACAATTATAAACTATGAAAAATTTTCTCTCAATCAAATTAGTTGTTAACATTCATAATTTCTTATTCTTAAGATAATTAAAAAAAAAAAACTCTAGAATTAGATTTTTAAGCCTAATAGTTAATCCTCAAACCTTAGTGCTTGAGTTTTGTTGATTAAAAGTTCAATTTTTATCAACGACTTAAAACAATTTCTTCATTCTCCAAAATTCCCCATGTTCAAAAAAAAAAAAAAAAAACACTTTGAAAACAATAATGAAACAAGAATACCACAATCATAAAATATTAACACAAATAAAAAATAATGATGAAGGAGAAAGAGTTGAAATTTACTTGGTTGAATATTAATTTAGTCTCTTAATTTTTAAATTTCTATTAAAGTTATTCTTAAACTTAAACAAGTACTAAAATTGTTTTTAAACTATAATTTTTACTATCTAAATAGTTCTTCCATTAACGAAAATGTCACGTGATTGTTATCTTGCCACATAATCAATTTTTTTTTAATATTTATGATATATAAAATTAAATAATCATATTTTGTAACTGTAGAACATTTCCATTTACACTTCACAACTAATTTAGTTCTTTAACTTTAAAGATAAGAACCAACTTAATTTTTTTTTTGAACATACGAAATTTAGGGGAATGGGGGAATTTTTTTCAAATAATCGATGGGGGTAAAACTCCTAATCATTTCCACCAAAAAAAAAAAAAAAACTAATAATCATTTGAACCCAAGCTCTTCAGTTTGGTGGTTAACAATTAGGCCTATTTGGTTGATTCATAATCAACTTAATCTTTAAACTTTGATGGTTGAAACCCCATTTAGTCCCTCTACTTTAACAAAAAACCTTTTTTAATCCTTGTACTTAAAAAAATCCCTTTTTTAGTCTCTCTATTTTGAAATTTTCATTATCTATCATGACATTTATGCAAAAAGATAATGAAAAGACCAAAAAGGGGTTACATTTTAAATTTTAGGGATTAAAAAAGAGTTTTTTATGTAGAAGGATTAAAAGGGAACTTTTTATTAAAGTAAAAGAACTAAAAAGGAATTTTAACTAACTTTGATTACAAGCATTAATTTGATTTTTTAACTTTGATATTATGATACCATAACTATTTGATTTTACATATCATTAATATTTTATAAAAGAATTAATTTTGTGACAAAATAATGAATTACATGACACTTTCATCAATGAAAGTATTATTTTAGTATCGAAAATTAAAGTTTAGAGACCATTTCAATACTCTTTAAAGTTTAAGGACAATTATAGTAGGTAAAATACCCAAATTCACTCCCAAAGTATAGTGATAGGAACAAATCCACCCCCAAACAAAAAATGAGGACAAATCCACCTATAAAGTTTTTGACTTGAACAAATCACCCAAAATTTAACGTGTGACATCATCTAACATCAATAATCTGTTAATTTGTTATGTCGTTAATAACGGATTACTAACGTCAAATTAACAAATTGCTAACTTCACACATTAAATTTAGGATGATTTGTCTAAGTCAAAAATTTTGTAGGTAGATATGTTCCCCTTTTTTGTTTAGAGTGGATCTATCCCTACCACTATATTTTGAAGATAGATTTGAATATTCTGCCTATGTACTTTAATACTCAAATTTTAAGTTATCATTGTAAATGGAAAAAAAAAAAACAGAAATAGTTTCCTTATGTGAGTCACATGACTGTTTCTGCTTCGTTATCTTATCATTGTTAGCTTTATACTATTATAGATAAGGTTTACTTGCACTCATAGAGGCAAATAGTAAATAATAGATTTTAATTGATGTAACTATTTAATTATACAATAATTAATTATTGTTATTTAACGTTAAATGATTAATAAAATATGTTTAAAAGTAATTAAGTATATTTTTCCTTTTTATATTGTCTATTATTAAAATGATTAATTTTACAAAAATAATTAAAAGAAAATAAAAATTAAATAAAATATAAAAATATGAATCACATACTTATTTTTTATTTTTTATTTTTAATAAAGAAATGATTATGTTATTTTAAATAAAAAAATTTACTTATTTCATTTAGTTAGCAACTTTTCTTTATTAATCTAATATAATTTTTTTATGATAAGTTAATGTAAAAAAAAATAAAAATATAATGACTACTAATATTATTAAAGATTAAAAGTAAAATTGAAACTAATTAAATAATTAGTAATTCAAAATTTTGTTAAAAATTGAAAAATTAAAATGGATCCATTTGTTAATAAAATTAAAATATTCTAATTTGTTAATAGTTTAACACAAAAAAGTTATAAATGTAAGTTTTCAATCCATTAGTAATTTAAACTTTAATCACCATTTGTTAATTATAAATTGCTATATAAAAAATTTTATCAAATACTTATTTTATAACAATTTGGACAAAATTATTATTTCAGCCTTTGAATCCTTCTATCAAATATATTCCAATCTACTAAAACTTAATATCTTAAATTCAAACTCTAGAGATAAAAGGGAAGTACTAACTATTAATGGAATATGAAACGAGCTAAGCTGGAAATTCATTGCTAATCTAGCAATCTTCGTATTAAAATTTACAAATTAAAAAAAATTAAAATATTAATAATAGTTGGCCTCAACTCACGTTGGGATTCAAGACATTACTCTTAAGCTACAGTATTAAATTGTACTTAAGAAAGAACCGACTTTTTGAAATTTAATAGTTTGTTTCTAAACTTTACTATTCAAGTAGAATTGATTGAAAGTTTAAGTCTCACCAACTATTTAAATATTTACATTTAACTTATAAATCATTGGTATTTCTCCTGCTCATAGATTAACTCATTTCCTCTTTCTCCTATAATTGTCCTTATTCAAAATAAAAATAAAAATAAAAATTGGGCCTACGGAGTGGAAAACAAGGTAAAGACCTTAAATTTCTTCCCCAAAAAAAATAGAAAGCATGTGGCTAGCTATAGCAAGAACGCAGCCCCACTAGATAATTCTTCAACAACTTCTAAAATCGAAAAAGGCGACTTAGAGCATGTAAAATGGCCACGGTTAGGGCGGTTAACAATATTGTTAGTGCTAAAATTGTAAAATATTATTTTTAAAATTATTGATTTTGTTTAATTCAAATTAATAAAAATTATTAATTAATAATTT